TCGACTTGGGAGTAAGGCCACAGGTGGACGATGAATGGCCCCTCCCAGAGGAAATAAAAGAGGAGCGAAAGGGGAGTGGAGTTTGCAGGAGACCACTAGTTGCCCCTTTTTTCTTAACTGTTCTTGCCTTCTGGTAGCTCTGCGCAGCTGTGCACTGGGAACAGGCTCACACTGTTCTTCTGCTTCGCTGATGTCAGACTTCGGAAGCTCTGGAGGCTTTTGGGGGCAGCACATCACTATCAGATGGCCTTTGCCCCTCTCTGCCTCCTACGCAGAGCCCTCGTCTGAGCCTACTTCAGGACTGGCCCATGTTCCTCCCCCACCTCCTCACTGTCCGACTCTGCTGCCAGTTCCACGGGCCACCAGTGGACCACAATAGTGGCCTTCTTGGCCAGAGTCCCCATATCAACGATGGCTACAGCTGCCATGTTGTCATACTGTGCAAAACAAGATTTCCCCAGATCCATGGGATGGGAGGTTTCCATTACAGCCATAAATGCCCCAAGGAAATATAAACTAAACTATATTCAGGTCCTCACAGCATCCTTGTTGTTGGATGAGAAAGATTTGTCTCCATTTACCTGAGGCCTGAGGAGATTCAGCTAAGGGACAGCTTCAATGAACAAGTCTTAAAGAGCAAAAAGATGGGATGAGTGATAACAGGATTAACATTCTGATTCCAAGGAAGCCGTTCCCGTTGCAGTTTTGTGAAAATAAATCTGTGTCATGTTTTCCAAGAAAAAACAAAAGCAATCTCTTCACACCCACAAAAATATGTCTTTACTGTACTAATGGACTGGAGCAAGCTTTGAAAACTCTGGAATTTTGGCTCAAAGACAGACTTTGCGGTTCCTGGAGAACTTTTGCTGGAAGACTTAGAACAACAACTGACTGAGAGGCAGCCCCGAGCTGTTTATTGTTGATATGGGCATGTGTCCCAGTGCTTTGATTCTATGGGAAAAACAACCCCACTAGTCCACACAGGGTTTAAGCTGAAGAGTTTTGTAATCCTGGGACATTAGATATCTGTTCTGACCCCCTCCTCCGTCCAGTAACGAAAGCTGAGACAAGCGTAAAATGGAATGTCCTTTAATAACAAGACCAGAATCTTGGTGGCTGAAAGCCAAGTAAAAAAACAGATAAGGACCTTGGCAGCAAGTCCAACAAACCTCGGCAGCAATGCAAACAAACTCTGGCAGCAATCCAGCCTGCCAAGTT